TGTCTGTTCAGATTATACAATACAGTATCACTTGTGTCCGATTACTTTACGAATACACTGTCTGTTCAGATTTTCCACGTGTATTCAGTCATGTTGTCTCATATAAATTTGGAACATCTCTCTCCCTATGTCTAAGTTGTTCATAACTGCTGTCACGTGCAGACATATTCGTGATGTTTTCTTCTCTTTCCTGTGCGCCTATAACGGCATAGGTACCGTCTGAAAAATGACACAAAGCAAGTACACTAAACTGCATTACATATGAATGTTGGTTTAATGATTGACTGTCAGATATAAAGATAAAAACTCTTTAATTATTTCATATGTTCAGCTATAGTCAGTTCATGTTATGATATACTTTTGTATGTATTGAAAAATGGTATTTGATAAGTTGAGGCTATNTTTTTGTTTTTAGATTTGATAGAGGTATCCATGCAAAACCTGTTTCTGTCCGTCGTTCTTGTCCAATACTCGGTAAAGATATATCTGTCATAGTGGTTGACCTCGTGGTGTTCTGATGGATCATTGAACGATGTCTTCTTGCCTGTACAATTATCACGATGACCAGAGCAACAATAACCACTCCAAAGCCGCTACCTATACCAACTGCTGCCGCATTGAAGTCATCTTCTTTACATGGTAAACTGACAACTACAAGATATGTGATATATGCATAATCCTATATTCATTTTGTTATTCAGAAATGTTTCTTAACAAGTTTTGACTGACATTGGTCAATACATTATGTTCTTCATTAAATCTATTGAACACAGATTACATTTTTTGTATCATTAACACCATTCAAGCATTACTATCTTAATATTTGTGATAATATTTCAATTGATTTAATCGAGCTTTTGCAGCTCCAATGTTCCCTGGTAACATCAGTTTTGTAAGTAAATAATGTTACGAGCATTTGCAACACACACTCATTCATGAAGCTGTACATTATGCACCCATGTGTCTAAAATGGTACATATACTGTTACTCTTGCAAGATACATATGTTTCAAGCATATGATACTCTGTATGTTTTATATTATTTAAAAGGGAGCCAATTTGAATTATAAACAATTTGATATAAATACATACTGCAGCGATAATAAAATATAATATATATGTATCCATGCATGTAATTGTTTGCCGCACGACTATCTTTTTCAAGCTTTTATTAGTCAACTTTATGTGTATATGCCTCCTTTCTAACAAAGGTCCATGGTATATGTCAGTATTCAGGTCAATTATGGAATGTGTTAACAGATAAAGATCAGAAATCACATTCCGCATGATATTCAAAAAATGCAGGCGGACTTTAAAATAATCCCGTAAAGGACTTCCAAGAATTCTAAGGAGTCATTATAAACATACGAAAACATGATTTTACCTTTAATGTCACACCTATGGCCAGTTAGTCCATCTATACATGACGTCATACAGTTCCCAGTGTCTTTGTCACATCTCCCATCTTGACAGTAGCCACACCTGTCTACACATTCGCTACCATGGAAGCCGGAGACACACTCTAGAGACATCATTATGGATGTAATCAATAGTTAATGATTCGTGAATTTAAATTGACATGATAGTGCAAATAAACCGCATGTTTCGGAAATATTTATTTGCCTGTGCATATCAGATAATAGCATTTATTTGCCTTAGACTACTGCAAACATTTGCATAAACCATGCAAGTAGATAATAGTTTCGCCATAACACTGACACTTAAGTAAAAAAGCAAAAGAAGACATAAGATAAGTTGTATTATTTTGACAAAAACATGGTCAGATTTAAACCTACCCACTTATCAGAGTCGAAAAGTCATTCCATAAAACATGTTTTGAATTTATAGTTAATAATACGTGGTGGAGATGTATCAAGCTGTATATCCCAANGCCTTGAACTTTTACATAAGCAGAGATTGTCGGACTGTTACTCGGTACTACTTTTTACCACGAAAGTGAACGATCGTGAAAATAAAGTATGTGTATCCTACAATTTGAAAGACACTTGATAATTACTGTCATAAGTACACGAAGATGTATAACTATATCTGTTAGGGAAATCCTCTTAGTCACGAAGCAATCATAAATGAATTTTAATGAATAACTGAAATGATACGTTAACTACTGTGTTTCTTTTTAAATCCATCTTAAGCTGTAACATGTTAATACACAATATACTGTAATATACAATACCTTCACATTGTCCACTGAACTGACTACACGTGTTGTCTTTACATGCGATGGGACATCTTTGTTGGCACGTGCTTCCGTGAAATTCTTGTTCACATCCTGAAAAAGGCACCAATATGATCGATGTCTAACCTATGAGTTCGGGAATAAATGACCACGGACATAGTTAAGGCTTCTAGCTATAAAGTTCTAGTCTAGTCAAATATATTTTTTATGCTTTTGTAAATCACATCTTTAGGATTTGGTCTGGTCAGCTAGGTTTGTTTATCTTGACAACTGCAAATATCATAATAGTGCACACGTCCTACGGTCAAATACACAAATATTTTCAGTTCTTGCTTTCTAAAATCAATCATTTTTAACTACACATTCGTTCAGAGGACATTCGACAATGATATTTTAGATAGCATGAATCATAATCTAGCGTACGTGTACAGAACCCGTTTCCCTGAATACACAAGTTGTCTTTGCAGTAAATGGAACACGTCTGGTCGCAGGTGTTCCCATATAACCCCAGAACAAATTCGGAAACTATTAAATAAAGGATAGCTTCTGTCAACACATACTTGTTTGCTTTTAAATAAGCATACAAAAACTGAACAAATAATCGAATCAATCATTTTAGCTTAGCATGTTATTGCAACCAAAATTTTAAACTAAATTAAAAAAATTGCTAAACATGCTTTATTTGTATAATTAAAATAATTGTTCATCTGTTTCTCTAGTTCTTCTGTGATCATCTTATATAAAAAAAATCACTTCAAAAATTTTGAAAAAGAATATTCAACATATTGATTATTTCTAATCACATTTTCAAATGCATGACAAATGATTCATTGGCTGCTTGTATACATTTGATATAAAAATATAGCTATGCATGACAAATGATTCATTGGCTGCTTGTATACATTTGATATAAAAATATAGCTAAATGCCAATCATGAAGTTATAACATTTTATCAATATAATTATTACCTATACAAAACCTGTTATCTTGGATACAAATGTTGTCTTTACAATTGGTAGGACACGTCTGAGTACAGGTACTACCGTGATATCCGGCTAGGCATTCTGAAGTATTATATTGGCAAAAAGTTCTTTAAAATAAGTATACTAGTTACTCCTGATCCAAAACTTAATCATTTTAATTGTGTTAATACTGATAACTGAAGCGAAATGAAGCACTAGGAAAATACCTATCGAGCAACTAGTTATGAACTCAAAAAAATATTTCTGAAAAGCAGTAACGACATGTTGCTTTGTTTATATATCTCTGAATTACTTAAGTGTATTACTGTTTGATGCACAGGCATAGTTAATTTAACTTGTTTCACAAGTTATGTTGTGTTCTCATCTAAGGCATTGCTCATCATATCAAATATAGCGAACATATAATGAAATGCATCCAATACATAAAGCGGTATATATACAACGAATATCTGGCAAGCGTCAAATATTTATTGTATTTTTTTTGGTTCTGTTAGGCTTATAAAATCTTGCAATTTTTCCATACAAAACTTTACAGATTAAATAGTAGATTTCCTGCGTTGACTATGTCGCAAAACAGGATGTATACACGTTAATACAAATTATCTTAATCATAACTAAATTTCAATGTAGTGCCTTTGTTTCAAGTTTATGTGAGCAAGTGTGGTACAATTGATTGGTATTTAGTGTGAAACTATATGTCACGATTCAACTCAAGGATTCAAATGCGTGAACATATTTTGTTAAGACCTATGTTTTGACCTTTTATGGGGTTTTTTTCAAAATGTATCATCACTGGTCCATTGCTGGTAGAGTGTATTTAAAGCTAAACTTTTGTGGTATATATTTCTCGGTTTTTACCGCCTATTTTAACACATCAATGAATGGATTTATCCCTTATAATTTGTTTTCATTTCTAATTTTCACAGATAATTATAGCAACAAAGGAAATATGCATAAAATATGTTCAACATATAGGTAATCTTTGAAGCAGTAACGGCGTCAGTTCGTTCTACTTTATATGACATTTAGAACACTAGGCATTTTTTCACTATTAAGTAAAAAGAATGGTTATAATACATAGAAAAATAAATACAACCATAAGCACGAAGAATATACATTTTTTTGACAAAACTCTGCCGTCACTTATAGGATCACAATTGATGGGAAAAACAGAACAGCTTAGATATTAGTACATACGACTGCTATTTCCAGATACATTTTCATAGTTAGCGTCTATGTAACCAGAAAACTGGACATCTCAGTGTCGTTCAAATCATACCTTGCGCTTGTGAAAAAATATCTGCACGGTTACAATTTTTACCTCCTAGTTATATACAAAATAGACATATTCCATATGAAACACTCATGTAGAAAATGGGTGTTTCCTAGCTCCTACTGTAAAGTGTTATATCACTTTCTCGTTATATATCATCGTGTATACTAATCAGAATTATTATCGGAACAGTCTAAAATTAATTAACGGTAGCAAATATTTGGAAAATATATATTTGATAGTTAATGAAAAAGAAGTGTATCCCCCTTTTAATATTTGATTACTTACGAATGCAGTTTCCAGACGATTTGTCGCAGACCGGATCGACACAGTTCGGGGAGCAGGCGACACAAAGAGGACCGAAGAAACGGTCTACACAGCCTAATTAAAAGTGAACACGATGTATTGATAGAGTATATCATGAAAATGATAAACAAACAAGGACTTTATATATTTTCTTAAACCACTGTAGAATTATTAAAATTTAAATAATATTAACTTGTGCGTGTATTTGACAATACGTACGTAAAGGCTACTTATTCAATTTACATGTACTGCCAGATTTAATTCCACCCAAGGGGAAATATTTCACCTTATAAACTAAGAGCCCCCGAGCACTAACATCCGGGCAAACAAGAGATATAGTTGAAATAACTGAATTCGTAATTGTTATAAAGTAAATAAACCTTATATAGGATTACAATACTTATCTTATATGGTATATTATCTCAAACCTGGTTGCAGACTGTGTCACATCATGAGGAAATTAGGTAACATAAGAATGTTTTAAGAACAGTTTTATGTATTCACGAGGGAACAATTAGTACCAGGGGTAAGCTTCTGTTATCCCTGAACACATTATAAACTTTTCGGATAACAGGTGTCCAGCGAAGCCATCATGTGAGAAAATAGATAAGTACCAATAGAACAATTGAAACTCAAAACTAAGATATTGAAATATAACTTTAATATCTCAAGTCACTTCTACCTATTCCTTATTATCTCCATATATAGTTAAATCTTTAAGTTGATAAAACAAATCATTACATTGATATCTTACCTGTACACACACTGCTATATTGGTCACAAATTTTGTCTTGACAGTTATTAGAACATGACTGGTCACACTGGCTGCCATGGTACCCATTGGCGCAAGCTAGAAAAGGGCATACAGATTAGGACATGCGCTTCGTCAAAAATTGCAAAATAAATTTAAAGAAATATCTAAAATATTATGAAAAAACAAGTTTAAATGGAAGATTATATACACTATTTATTGAGAATATGTACAAAACATATTGGTTAATGTATACATGTATTAAAATACCATCAAAGGGCTGGGTTATATTCCATACTCATAATAAGCCACAACTGGATCGGTATATATATACTAGAAGCGAATATTGTAAACGTGAAGTTTATGAAATATAATCTCAGCAAACTCTATTTACCTTTTTGTTTTGAATAATTTGCTAGCACAATTGATTATAATGATTGCCGTTATAGAAACAAATGAGAACTAGAACACTGACAGGTCTGTAAGGGCCCCGTCTTGTGGCAGTATATCTCCCATAATCATCAAGAAGCAATATGCCCATATAGCTGAGTATGACGTTTTACATTTGGACTTCAAAAAGAATCGCAAGGATGCAAAATATACATTTTACATGTACTATGATGTGAGTCTTGTTTCCTTCCATCTCCATATTTGGTGGGCTAACAGAAATGTAAATGCCGGTGCAATACTCATTTGTTAGCTTTTATTTGTTTTATTTCACCTTAAATACCTCCTCCATCAAGAGCCAGGGTCATAGTCAGAGATCCACTTTGTCTTTGACCTTTGGACCAAAATGACCTTGACCTTTAACCTCGTGACCCTGATCTTTGATCAGTTGACTTATTTTTTATTTCCGACCAACTTTGCTTCATAATATCATAACAAAATGTTCATCAGTGAAAAGATACAAAATTGACCTTGACCTTTGAGCTAGTGACCTTGCCCTTTGGTCAAATGACACCTTGTTTAATTCCCACAAGCAATACTTCAAAGTGTCATGATGAAATGTTCACCAGTGAAAAAATACTAAATTTGACCTTGACCTTTGACCCAGTGACCTTGACCTTAAGTCAGTTGGCTCTTTGCTAAATTCCAACTAACTTAGCTGCATAGTGTCATAACAAAATATTCATTAGGGAAAAGATACAAAATTTGACCTCAACCTTTGACCCAATGACCTTGACCTTTGGTCAGTTGCTTTCTTGTTTAATTCTGATCATCTTTGCTTCATCATGTCATAACAAAATGTTCATCAGTGAAAAGATGCAAAATTTGACCTTGGCCTCTGAACCTAATTACATTGACCTTTGACCTTGGCTTTTTACCTCAATGTGTATTTTTATGAACTGAACATCTTGACCAATTTTCACGACGGACGGACAGACAGAGTGATTACTATAGGGCACCCGTATCTCCGATACGGGTGCCCTAATACGTAAGATTAGAATTAAAGAAACACATTTACGATTATGCATAAGACACATATCGTCAACAATTTGAGCATTAATGGTTATGAGTCCTATTTCATGCATTCGTGAGAGCCCAATATTCAGTCTTACAGTATAGTATAGTATAGGCTACTGAGGCGGATATTGATTAATCTTTGTCTGATAGTGATTTATGTCTAACAGTCATTTTTCATAACGAGAACGCTAGTTGGATATTTCGACATACAACATTCTACTTTGTCATTAATACATTTTGTGTTCAATTGGTAAAACGGGTTTCTGTAAACCTAAAATGAAATAATGATTTTCTATCAAACTAAAACAAGAGAATGATATGTAAACAACATATATTTGTTACAATATAAGAAATGTAATTAAAACAAATCATGATATTGTAAAAGGAACGTAAAATAAAAGACATTCGGTACGATATATAGTATGCAAACTATACCATACAGTTGTTTCGTCTTTTTTGGAATTATCGATGATTCTAGGAAAAATGAAGAAACCAAATTGGTCTAACTTCTGTTGAAGCAGGGAGGTGTACAAAACACTTTAATGATATTTATTTCAAAAGAAAATCTTTGCAAAATAGTTTAAGATAAATGACGAATTAAGTGAGTATATTCCGTGATACTACACAGTATTATGATTTTTAATGTCGCGGCAAGCTATGGAGTCTCACTGCACTCGGCTACTTAAACAATTCACGCCAACACAAATGTACTATTTGCCGCTAGCTCGCCGAATGGACGTAGGGCGGTGGGCGTTTAATGAATATACAACGTTATATACCACTAAATATATACATTTCAAAAATGTTTCAAAAACATGATATGGCCGACTAAAATGTACACATGGTAATGTGGGCTGAACAATGCTTCATGTCTACGTTCAAAAATGTATATCTCCCAGTCTGACTGTGCGAAAAAAAACGATATAACCCCCGGTCATCGAAATCAACCTGCACGCCCAGGAAAAACCGGGATAGCCCCCGGAAACCTGTATCCAGAAGCGGGAATAACTCTTACTTCCTTGCAAGCCCGATTTCTGCGAGGCGACAGTTGAACCGCTGTCATGTCCTACCATAATCTGAGTGGGGCGACTGGAAATGACACCTGGGTCATACACACTATCGCCAGCGTACCTGGTACACGTCACAGCACGCGGCCGCTCGTGCGGGACTAGCCCTAGTGCCGCACGAGACAAATTATTCCCGCTATACTGCGAACCGCGGGAATATTTAGATAAAATACACTGCCATAGTGAATGAAATACGAGGTAACACCTGACGTTAGTGACAGTGATATTAACTTCCAGATCACAAAAAAGAAAATACTCGTCGATCTTTCGACGTTGTGTGACTTATTATTATTTTAATATATATTTTATATCACATAGGAAAGTTAATGAACGGGTACAATCATATTGTTTACGCAATACACATAATACAAATATCTTATCAAATATGATATACTGAAATGTACATTAACAGGGGAAATTGGATAAAAGAGTATACAGTGCTATTACGACGTTTTCAATTTAAAAAAAATCCTAATTCATTAAATGCCTTAATGTTTTGAGTATTAAATAGCTGAATAAATTATAAAAGTAACACTTTAATATAAAATGAAATTTATCTTCAATGTCATTTGAGTTACATAAGTTACAAAACCTTTGATATCTATGAAGGTTTCCATATCTTCCCTGTTCAATATTTAAATTATGCGAGGTAAGTCTTAAACGAGCTAAAGTCTTTTTATATGAGTTATCAATTGGTTTTATTAATATGATTGCAGAGAAAAATGATCGATCAGAAGTCGATAAAGGAAACCTTTCCGAGTTGTTTGGATGTTTGCTAATATATCCTGCCGGTAAATGTCGAAAAGCCTTTGCTCAATGCCTTTATTAGTATTTCTGTCATTGCTAACATTGTCCCCAAAGGTAAGTTAATCCCAATTTGTTAAGTGCAGTGCGGATGTCTAAAATCCAATTATCAATTCACAAAATTCTTCTCTCGTAACATGTTTTTGAAATTTAATAATTCGCAGTTTTTAATTTTAGTTCATATTTAATAATTTTCAGTTTTCTACATAGACACTGGTAATCTTCCTAATTCACAATAAACTAAATTATTACAAGTAAATGTACTCTTCTTGACTTCAAGTAGCCTTTTACAAAATTGTGTGAGTATCTTTTCAACATCAAGAGCTTTATGAAAGCCCCATACTTCTGCACTGTAACTTAAGACGCTATTAAAATAAGTGTCGAATACAGAACATTGTGTTTTGATATCAATATTATGATTTTTGAACTTATTACAAAGCGCATAATATGCCTTATTACCTTGATCTGCAACTTGCTTTTGAATAACATTAAATTTAAAGTTGTAATTAACGAGCATGCCTAGATGAATTAATTAGTCGACGACTTGAAGCTCTGAAGTTTCATAAAATCATTTTTCGTTGTTTCTTATCCTGCCACCATTCCTGAAAACTTCTATTTTCGTCTTATCAGTGTTCGAATTGAGTTTGTTATAACTTTTCTGGCGTTTCTGCAAATAGCACCGTATCGACAGCGTACATAAAATGTTAATCAAATTAATTTCGATTGATGGACAATCTTCTTTTATAAAATGAATTTCACAGTTATTGACGTACATGGAGTATAACATGGGTGACAGAATTTCCCACTGAAAAAGACCGATTGTATTTGAAAACAAATATGAATAAAAACCATTGTGCTTTACACACGACTTAACTGAACTATACAACGATTGAATTATACGTAACATTTTCCCTCTAACACTCTGCTTGATTAATTTGCACCACATACAAGATCTGTCGATTAAGTCGAAATCTGTCTTGTAATCAACAAAATAACAGTTAAGTCTGCCACTATCTTTACTTAAATATATATTAATCAATGTCTGAAGGACAAATAAATGATATCTCACAAAGTTGTTGTTGATATTGATAATCAGGATAGGTTGTGACACAACAACTCTGCATTTTCCCCGACTCACCGCCATTTAAGATTTGGCTCTTATCAACAACGCGTAGTGATCTGAGTTGATATGACGGGACCTTTATGAAATGGTTACATTATGATAGTAATTTGGCATACTTTATTAAAAATATGAGCTAAACTACCTACCTTATTAGGATATAAATTACTTCTTCTAACACTATATCTATGATGTATACATGTACCGACTCATATTCCGCTACGAACATATTTTCTGAACAGTTTACTTTGTATTATCGATCAGAATGAGTGCAGGGTAAGAATATTTTCAGAAACAGGGTAAGAATATTTTCATTTCAAATCAAAATTTTAAAACATTCAAGTAATGTATAACAAATGGATCAATTATCATATAAATAAAACGCAAAACAATTACATGTTGATATATTCGCAAGTCACATAATAGCCCAAGAAGTAGGAAACGATTGCATCCTTGTATGAATGGTTGCAATAATGGATTTGCAAAATATGATTTCCATAGCACATATTTGAACTCACTTCAGCCCAACAAACATCAAATAATTGCTCTTAAGTAAATCTAAGTACATATGCTTGTGAAATAAAACGTTTAAATAAATAATACAACTACGATTTTGAGAGAATAATTTTGAACTCGTTTGAGCCAAACAAGCATCAATTAATTGCTTTTAGGTAAATCCCAGTACAAATGCTTATTTTCGTTCTAGAATGAAATACAAACACTTCAACTGATAAAGGTTAGACATATAAAACGATGTTACTTTCAGTCACAAGCATTCACGTTTGAAGAGCAGCATAAATAAGACATTGCAGAAGGATATATTTCCCTTTTTGGGAGTGGTGGGGTATGCACTGAATACAAATGCAATTATGCCAAGGTTTTGTCTGTGCTGATAGAGTAGACGAGGTTCAGATTCAGATTCATTCAGATTATTTTTTTGTTTAAATCAGCACAATCGTCTTCCGTGATATCAATATATGAGGATTCAAACAACTACAACTTTAGCCATAAAAAAGCAGAATTTCGAACTACCCATTTTATGGAAAATACTATCTATGTCAAGGGGATTTATCTTAACCGGAAAACTTCCTGCAGTGCTATCAAAATATTGATATCATCGATCGTAACATTGCCTACGTACATATGTTCCTTCACAAAACCGTTTACGTGATTACACATTTACTCCTGACAGTTTGTTCGACATGGCAGATCACAACGGTCGCCATAGTACCCATTGACAAAAGCTGAATAGGCACAGTACATACAATAACTGAATTTTGTTTCAACAAAAAAAAATACTTTAATTTAACAATTTATTTCCCTAATATATGTATAAACTACACCACACGATAAATTGAAAACTGACATGTGTTCTGGTACTGTAATGGTGGTCGATTGTAATGGCTGAAAGCGAGACAACCTAAGACGAACAATGCACAATTCAGTTGAGCCCAGCAAGACTAAAACAATGCTATAATGTAATTTCTGTTACTTATACAAATCACTGTATGTTAATCATAAACCCACCCTGAAAGTATTGTATGTTTTTCATTTTAGATACCGGCATAAAGACGTTTTACTTACCTGAACAAACACCAGACTCCACGTTACACAAGTCATTTAAACATTTTGTTGGACATGCTGTACAGACAAGCCCAGACTTATAAAATCCTGGCGCACAGTCTAAAAATAATTAATCATCGCTGTTTATTATAACGAGTGTATTAACTAATGACTGCTGATACAAAGTATGATATTACAATTATCAATGTGATAATATTGTAGGAAATTTAAAAGTTACATGTACATAACAATTAGTATAACTTTATTAAAGACAATGGCATTTCATTGAAATTACAAATCAAATATTGAGAGAAAGATAAACAATAGTAAACACTTATCAGTAAACATTAGTGAATTAATTTGTTTGTCAAATTAAGGTTTATCTCATTTTCAAATGTGTAAATGACAAAAGAAAACGGCACATTTTCCCCACCAACGTTTCACTGAATTAGTTCTTCAGATGCATAGCAACATTAATATATAGTATTGATAAAGAGACAATATTTGTACAAAATGTAACGTCTTCGTTTGTCAGTAACACATTTTTATATATTTTACTGGCGTTTTGTCAGTTTAAACATTTTGTAAACATCAATATTAACACTCGTGTAATGAACGTTAATAAATCTACTCAAATTGTGTTTACTTACATGTACACTGACCGCTGTTAGGATGACACAGGCTATTAACACAGGTTGTATCACAGTTGCTATCACAGTTACTGATGCCATATTTTCGTACTGGACAACCTAAAATGTGTATCCCTTATGATGCAACGTGTACAAAACATTCGTTCCCTTCCTTAACGATTTTTATCCTTTTATGTGCTAAATAAAGCAATATTGTACATTAAAATAAGAATATAGTTAATAATATGACTGAAATCATGTGATCAGATATAATGTGCTTACAATTAATTAAAATCGATTACACTGTAATATTAAATGCGACACTTTAATGACAATTACTATGCCTGTAAAACAAGTTAACATAATTTTGTCTCTATTTAACCATAGCTTTCCTGCACTGTAAAGTGGCTACTGAAAAAAGGATATCTTGAACGACCTTTAGAAACAATACTAATTTGCAGCAGATGCTCATTGACATGTGAGCAGAAGTCATTAAGATTTTTAAGACAGCACACATATTTTGTAATTAGAAATATCATTTTTTTATTAAATCAAAATAAGAACTTTGTTGATTTTACAATAGGTATGAAGCCTTTTTATCCAACTAACTTTTTTCACTATTGTTGGAAATACAAAAGAACCCACAAAAGATCTTACTCTGGGAGTACCCGGAGAAATAAAAACACGTGGTCGGGCTAGTGACTCAACACCTTTTCACGTCCGATCGATGACACTCCTGCAGGTCGGGAATCGAGAAAAAGAATACACCTGTTTGTTATCCTCTGCATGTATCGTAAGATGCGACTAATGTTGGAACCCCCTCCAGAATTGGGGATTTTCGTTTTTGCCCTCTATTTTGGGACACAAATTCAACCAAAATGAATCTGCTGCACTGCTTGCAATATTTGGGATCTTTATATTTCTCTCTACCTCTAACTACCTTTTATATCTTGGCAATGCCTCGCTTTTGGCTTTAAAGTTGAATGTTTTCCCAGGTGAGGAAGGCAATGGATTCTATCCCCAGGCTGGGACATACGACATTCCTCAAAAGTGGTAGGTGTGCCTCCCTGCTTAACGTTCAGCATTTAGGGTGATGGCAACAACTGGTTTACTCGTTGTCAGTATAATGTGACCGGGCGGAATGCTGTGCTTGGTGCCTTCGGCATGGTATTTCAGTGAGATGGCACTATAATGTCGGCATCAGATCCACGCTATCAAACGGAGGCAATTAAACCAACATACCCTGCCCCCAGTACACCTACACCCATGCATGCATACACAGCACAATGGAGGCACGTCTTTAAATGACCATAGCTGTTAATAGGATGTGAAACAAGATAAAATCAAACCAGTCAGGGAATAGAACCCCGGCCGCCTTGCTGAAAGACGAGTTATTTTATCCACTACGCCAACCGACCAACCTTTCTATCGTGTTGGAATCGCTAATAAGATTCTTGAAATTTGTTCGGTAAAGGAGTAAGGATACTTAATAAATACTATTGTTATATAAGTATTAAAATGAACAAACAGTTATATTGAAATATAAATAAAATATGAATATTAGTCAAATTAGGTAGATTTTTTAAATGCACATGTTGTGTGATTGTCAATAGGTACACATGAGAAAAACAGCTCATTTGGTTTGGTTTGGTTTACTTTTGTTTAACGTCCTATTAACAGCTGAGGTCATTTAATGATGTGCCTCCATGTGTTTTAGTGTATGCGCGCTTTAGTGTGTGTATGCAGGAGACAGGGTTTGTTGGTTTGCTTGCCTCCTTGTGATAGCGCGGATCTGATGCCGACTGTATAGTGCTATCTCACTGAAATGCCATGCCGAAGGTACCCAGCAGCTCATTTAATACTACTCCAATATTTTCGAAATTCTTTTTTTGTCGTAAGATTTGTCTCCCTTTTGCATTACTAAGTGAGCCATACCAGCGAAAGGTTTTGGTTTTCTGTTTTTCTCACAATCTTTGTCATAAAGTTAGTATTTAAACGAGCAGATTTCCACAACCTTGACGCGCACGTTACATCGTGTTATGAACCTCAGTCTGATAGCTTAGTGCTAATATATATATAAAAATGACACGGCAAATATATTTTAGATTTCTGATATTTCGATATTTGAATTGGAGTAAATTTGCTTAACACTCATAACAAATTACCAGGAACGAAGCATGTTATTTATGTTAAGCAAATAAAATCTCAACTAACATAGCTAAATAGCAGGAGCTTAAAAGGGCACGAATGACAAACACACACAATACAACAAAATGGAGACTAAATATATCATACGACGAATCAGTGGATCACTACTATCACGAAAACACTCACCATAAACCTGTACTTCACATAGCTCCAGTATAGCTTGTGTAGAGTACCAATTGTTACTTTTCGTTTGACGGTCGACGTAAATTGTCAGGTATCGGTTGTTGCCTGTACATGTTGTGATTCGTGGAGTTAGGTCAACCATACATTGTGTAGAAGTTGCGTCGTTATAACAGCTGTCACTGTTTCTCCAACCTGTTGTATTTGACAGGTATATCTGATAACCAGCGAATCGAGCTGTCTGAAATGGTCCCTCATCTGCATGTTAATAAGTACAAGTTTAAGTATATTGATATTTGGAATTCAAATTTGTTTCGTAGCTGCTTTTATTCCATAGAGAATAATACATGCCTTTTTTTCATATCACACCCAGTATCAACCCGAGACTGCAATATCAGCCCAAGGGCTGAAGGCCCGAGGGTTGATACTGGGTGTGATATGGAAAAAAACGTGTTTTATTCTGTTTATTACATACTTTCTAATAAAAACTTCTATCTTATGATATATTTTTCTTTTAAAATATTGAAAAAAGATTTTTTTTCAAAAGGGGTGTGAAACGGCGGGGGCTGATACGGGTTTTGGGGTGTGATTCGGCGAGGGCTGATACGTGTTAGGGCAATTGTGTCGTATCGCATAAACAAAAAGACAGTATTTATCGGTAAGTATGTAATAAATTAATATATAGTATGTATACTGTCAGACTACAGTAGCCATTTCTTAATTATTTCTTTCTTATACTTGATAACTGGTTTTCAGTGTAATCTAATTTTTCGCTGATTTTAGCTGTAAAATAATACAGACAAAAAATAACGGTTAAATAAATGATAATGTATACTGCATGCAGCACGAATGCTGAGTCTATTCTCATCATTGACTGTGTTTTCTGTCGATTTTTCTCCGGAAGACTTATTTATGTAGTCGTTACAACCTTTGTGAAGCACAAGATTCTAACAACAGATACGTGCTGTGTTTTTTCTGAATAATCTGCCATATTATCCCATGTCTAAACATTTATCACTACATTTACATGTTTCTGTCGAATTAGTGTATGAAGATATAATATCAGAGATATGAAGGTTTTCCCCTGAAATGTATGCATTGAGCTAATGATGTCTAGTATGTGAATTCAAATCTGCAGGTATAATACCATCTTAATGCATTCAATTAATTTATGATAGAAACATCTGAAACAGTTTCATATGAAAAAGTAACCCCGGGTAGTTTGGACTGACTTATCTCAAATTTGTCTACAGTCTGATGTTATGGGAGATAAACATTTAAGGTGAATTTTAAAAATTTCTTTTTTTTCAATCAAACCCTTGCGTATGGAAATGCTAATGTCTGTATATTCTTACTACATTTGATCAATGTGTTACTATAAATACAGGATATCCCGAGTGTTTGACAAGTGATCAGATGGGCATGTATCGCTCACCTGCTATTCTATTTCTTCGAATTCACAATTGCACAAATGTAAACTTAAACGTTTGTCAAGCGTACACTACACATAAAATATATTCTTCCAACAACCTCCATATCTTTGTGTGGAAATTTGACATAATACATTGTGGCACTTTCCACATTTGCAAAGATAATTCGTTACAGAAAACAAAGGGGATATCTTCGCAAAACAATTGCTTGATGTTACCAACACTTGTGACATTGGATATATGTCAATGTCATTTCCGTTCGCAACCACTTTACCAAAGCGTACCTCTGTCTAATATGTTTACTCTAGGTCCTTAAAGTTCTACGGAAGGAGTCGTTGGTTTTTAATTACATTATTGACTGTTATGACCTAGACTAACTGTGAAATATTTCAACTAAAAATGTATCTGTTGGTTCTTCAGAATATGTCATTTGAGGATTTTTTGTTTTACATAAATGACACCTATGGCCATACAAGTTATTTGTTATCGATTTGTTTTGTAAACCAGAGAGGCTACTGGTAAAATATGAATCTAAGTCAAATGGGTGTATATCAAGATATTACATAGGATGGTACTAATCATACATATACATGAAATAATAATAATTGGGAAGAAAATATAACACTGCATTTGTTTTGAAAATAATGGAAACAACGGACCTAAAGCAGAATTTAGATATAAGGAACATTGGACATTGGCTAGCTATCTCCAACATTATTATTGGTAAATCACAGTTCGAATGACGTCGAACTCTTCAGTCCGAATTTTTTACTTATATCTCAGAGCTGAGCATATGTAAATAGCGAGTAATCGGTTTATCTTTCTGTACGTCCGTCAACCTGTCCGATGTTCGTTTCTGCACCATAACTTGCTGAACTATTATCGACATTAATTAAAGATGTTATGTTTGTACAACTTCCGACAACTAAGGTTGTAATTTAAGAGAAATCTGCGCATATTTTATCTGCATTTTTGACATAATTGGGTAGTGTTTTTCACACTAAACTGTAATAAGACGAACGTAAAAACATACAAATCTGATTGCACCCATACTATTTGATAAATTGTTATTGGATTTGAGTGTAGAGCAGGCTCGATTATGGTAAACATTGTTGAACATTAAGGTCCAACTAGCCCAATAGAAGATGGTGTCATCAAGAACACTAGTTGTAGCTTTGATAAACCACAGTAAAGTTCTGCGATAACATATTTTACCGGTATAAATGCAAAACCAATGGCTTTTTGATCTTCATTTATAAATGAACTTATGATTAAATGTATTATCATAATATTTAGCGTTGTTATACAACAGGAAGAGGACATGTTACAATCATCATAACACTTGTTTTCAATTTCAACGTTTATAACATGTCTAGGTAATTATTAACACCAAATAATGTTATGAAATATGGTATATCGTGATAAGTTCATTTATTAATCTAAGTCACTTTGCCTTTGTTTTCTTTTTCACAAGCTGTTAAAACAAATAACCAGATAATTTTATTATTATTATTGTGGTTTTGCATTGCCATATTAATATTATGTTGTTGCCGGTGTGCTTCTGTACACCCAGTAAAGGAGAACTCTAGCCGCGAATGACCACTTTAGATGATATGTCATAGCATTCAATTGGGTAGCAATAGAGATTGTCATTATTTAAGGTTTCATTCAGATTCAGTACTTATCATAATTTGACAAACTATGTGTATATATAGATATTTCTTCTCCACCTGAATATGATCGATACTGTTGTTATTGGTTATGCAAGAATTCGGGGAATAGATATGTGCCACTACGATATAAAACAAACGCGTGCATGTAAGAAACATTGGAAGCTTAAGTCCGTTGCTATCTTAGATTGAGATGTTTGCACCAATTGTTACGAGTTAACCTAAATATGAGGACGCTAGGCCTAACGCCAATGTACCTAATACGGGACAATACCAACAACGGAACACTTGTGGGAGAGCAGCTCAAGAAATTGGCATGCAGTATTCAAAGAAGTATTGTTATGTATGGAATTTTAACATGACACGTTTATGTCAGTTTTACTGGCGTCATGTTCATTGTAGTCACACGGACAACTTAAGGTAAGAAATAATTACGAAAATATGACTTGCCGCGCAACGCTTATTATTTTGGTATCACTGGCAGAAGGTTCTTTTCCCAAATATAATGCTACTTTGAAGAAAAAAAATTCAGCAGATTCCTGATTTATTATACAAAATTTAACAATGTGTAATTTTCTGCTTATATTGACCATGTATCACAAAAATACCAACGTGCCTTTTAGGCTACAGTTAATACTGTTTCAGAAGCGATGTAACTATAAAACGCTACTTCACAATCTATTTATAGAACCACGTGCCAGGAATATTGATCGGTAATAGAATAGAAAGTGAGTGGTATCTACTTATGAAAAATGTTTGTGTTTTTTTTTATTGAAATGGATACTATAGTATCAGATATATCCATTTTTAACTGAACAGTCCCGCTTTTTGTGAACATAACTATTTTTCCTTCCTTTCATATCAAATGCTGACTTAGATTACCAACCAAGCATTCTTTCTGCATTGTTTTAGTCAAAGGCACGAGAAGAAATATAAAACTATCGCAATCGGTTTTGACGGGAGATAAAACGGAATAAAAAAGTCCTTTATGATAAATGTTAGTAACAGTTTTATGTGTGTAGTTAAAAACAATGCTGCTAGTAACAAATGTACTAACTTTCACAAATTAAACAAAACCACTCCAAAGTATGATATGGTTACCTGATGATTATAGAGAATATTTATTTGTTTACATCACCTCTGTAATATATCTGGATGTATTCGATGACGACTTGATCACCCAGGTCAATTTGCCACCAAGCTTCATTTGGTGTAGGATTACTGTTTGTATGTGAGCAACAAGCACTGTCGAGCTTCTGGGTAGTACAGTTATCTACTACCTCGTCACTTGTGTAAGCAACATCAGTATCTGAACTTTGACTTGTTTTGACTTTCGAATCAAGACTGGTGTTTACTGAAATGAAAAAGAAACACGTTATGGTACAGTCAAGGACAATAAACACATGGATATTGCAAACAAGCGATATATTAAAATTGACTAAATGCTTGATGACAAAATTTCAACGTAGAAGGGAATATCCTGATTTTGGCTTTTCAGGTTTTAAATTACCGACACAGTGTTGGATGTCCGACATACACTTACACAACAAAAGAAATGCGTGCAATCCTACCTGAGGTTTGAGAAATCTTCAATGCCAACATGAAGTATATAATCCGTATGGACTCGGAATAGGTGTGTTTGTAGCTAGTGAGAGTACAACACAGCAGAGTTGAGTAAGGATACAGTAAATAGGTTTCCTCCTTTATTGTCACCTGTCAGAAAGAATCTAATGACTCTGTGGTGTAAGTCTTAATAAGCGACAGCATGGAAACGCAATGTATGAGAAATATCTAGACATTTACACGTAAATTTTTGAATTTGCATATTCTTGAAAACATATATAAAATTAAACTCTTTTTGTTAAGTTACACTTCGGCCCTATATTTTTACATATCCAACGCCCCCTTTCTTTAGGTAACAACCTACTTTACAACCGGAACAAAACTGTAATTGGACACATGCTAAGTGCTTTCATTAAGCAACGGTCTATGCAACCAGCTGCCAAATCGTCTGCACGTTAAATTCGCCATGAAAATATCGATGTGCTAACAGTCAACCCGCCTCAATTAAACTCAACAGGAGAGTTTAAAACATGGAAATAAAGCATGCGATATATTTTCTTTCCTGTACGATATGATGTAGTGCCAATGTTTCCGATAATATGAACATAATATGTATATGAGTATATGTGTTGTACTATTCGGATATGCATCGTAAACATGTCAGCATGTATTCAATTTTATCTTAAATGTAGACAGTCCTATGCAATTTATATGAGACGCATAATCTGTCTAAGTATAAGATATATCATATATAAACATTGTGGTATAACCTCGTCTTTCCCCCGTACCCAAGTACATGTATTAACCTGGAAGTTACAATGAGTTCTGCTCTACTTAACCAGAATGTTTGCAGCAGGTTTACACTACAATTTGCTATGCCTCCGTGTATACATACTTACTTTAAACGTCATTGTTGGCCTGGCGAGTTCAAACCAAAGGTTCACCACATAAATAATGTAATTTGAATATTTTTGATAAAATGTGATCACATCTTTGAACATTTGTTTCAGTGTAATAGTCGTACATTTTAACAGGTATAAACCCTTGCTACTATTGTCTACACACATTGTTTTTGATGAAGAACTCTGTTATCGGGCTTTATTGCATTACATATTGACAATTACATGTCATAATAGTACCTTGGACGGTCATTAGACGAGGTGTAGTTTTCACGTTGATTTCAAGCTTTAGTACCACGGTTCATAGAATATATACAAATTAAGGATAACGTATATCATGTCATTACATTTCATTAATAGTACACATGCAATCGTCGTGTCTACAATGTAGTTTTAAACATAAAGTCTGCGTTGTGCAAGAATTAAGCCTGATAACGTTTTAATAGGGAACATTTCAGAGGTTTGACAGCATACACATGAACTGCATTGTGCCAGGTGTCAATCGCATAGGGACATGCTAAATCATCTTTTAAAGCACCGCTATTTTCATAATAAAATGAAACATAAACAATAATGCGAATGGGCCAGTGTTCAGAACGATTACCATTCGGAAATATTCTAGAAAATTATCATTTCTCAGAATTGAAAATATATTGAAATTGATTATAATATATAAGAAAACGATGAGTTAATGTTTCATTTTTCAATGAATGTATTTTATACAGATTTATTCAGGTATTTATTGAACACCAAATAAGTCTTGATTAAGTATTGTTTTGAAATGGTATACGTACATGTAACTCTATTTTCTGTCAATTTCAGGTTTATATCTGCACCCATCTTTTGATATTTTACTGCTTAAACTAAGATACAGTTATTTCTTAACACTACCACGATAACGTTAATGCCGACTGGAATATTTTACATCATATTAAACAAGATTGCCCCGCTATCTAAATACGAAGATATATAAGAAGTGATGAGGAAGCTAAGTGGTATGGCGCCAATCTGACAATGCGTACCTTTTAGTGAACCACTGTGATAGTCAGGAGTTTATTCAGTGACAGCGTTCACACATACTCAATCGACAGTGAATGTTTATATAATGGGAACACTTGCACACTCGAAGGGGTCGCTATAGCGATGAATATATTTAATCAGTCAAGGCGTGATTTGAAACATGCACATATCAAATACTATTCATTTGAAGCTCATCTTGTTCATAACTGACTTTTGGTATTAAAAATAATACAAACCAATTGTTCAAGATAATTCACGATCAGCATAAAATATCAACAGAATGTATGTATTCAATCATACCTGATGTGTTGACAATCTGAACCGATGCTATGAAGAAGAGAATCGCCAACCACACAGGACACACCTCCATTCTACACAATGTGGACCTTTAATAAGCCGGATGCATGATGTAGTGTATTTCTACCACACATATACTGAACAGGAAATTAAAAAATAGCTCTGCACTTCTTTACCAAACGGATAGTAAAAACTACATTCCCAGTGTGATGCAACTCGATATGCCCATATACGATGATAGAAGGGAGCAAACATGATAATATTACTGAAAAAAGGAAAAAATCATGTGAAGTTTGTTGGCTGTCTTTGTCAAGAACGAATACACAATGAGTAAATTGTGTTTGGCAATTAAGGTTAAAATATATCCGATATAAATATTGCTTGACTTTACTGGGGTTGTCTACAAACTGTCATTACTCGCCAACTGTAATAACAGTTTGTTAGTTCAGGCCTATAAAGACAGATATTTCTAAGCTTTTTTAAATACTTTTAATCGGCTACACGTTCACAGGTTTGTATGCTTCTTATAACTGAATCGAACTATTATCTTCCGTGCACATACAGTCTATTTGCTGAAGATAGCCTCTGTGTAATAAAATTCAATATATTCAGTTGTACGCATTTACAGTGTTTACATTAATGTGTTTTTCTTCCTGCACAGCCCACACAAATTCCGAAAAAAATAGAATGGTACAATTACTCAAATGACTTGTTATACATAATGAAACTTTATCTAAATTCCGGGTACTTGCATTTTAAGCACATATAGCGACTTTGAATATATTATCATACATGTATTGGTCACTTAGGCACGGCTAGTAATCACAGAATCCTGAGTCCCACTGGTATATATGTAGCTCTAGAAAAGTCTCCACCAAGATGCACAGAACAGTACAATACATATGTAGTAAATTGGAATATGTAGTAATTGATCAAGTTTATTATTGGGATATTTTGCTGAGAGACATTGTCAATGACATATATATAAAGGAATACTGAATGCAGGGCCTGAGAATGTGATTGTGCCAGCATGGTGTCTGTGCATAATGGTGAAGTTATTTTCTTTTTTCAAATACATTTGACACATCAGCTCTGTCAATACCTAGCTAAATATATGCATCATCAATCTAGAATATTTAACATTATAGTAGAGTTTCCACAATGGGGATCCGTGACCACTTTTCCCGGACCAAGGTTTGATAGTTGATTTTAGTCAATTTGAGGGTGCTGATTAAAATGAGCTGGGGTGAACCTCGTGAAAATGTGGGCGAACTCGGCGAGACGCGAACATTCAAAATGGCCGCAACCCGTCGTCTGGTATATCAAAAAAATACATATCTTTGCTTTTAGATATCCGTTTTATATGATATTTGGGTCTAAATATATGTTTGAGGGTTTCGGGATTCTATTTATTAGTATAATAACTTGATTAGGGTAAACGTTAAAACGAAAAATGGTCTGTTATTTTTTTTCCTGCCAAAAACCAGGATAACCGCAAGCTGACTGCAAAGGAAAAGACCAGGAAGATACCCTTAATGGTTTGGCTGCAAAGTTTCAATCTTTAACCAGTGTAAATTAGTTGAAACAACCATTGTATGAAATGTCTGGTCAATGATTTTGTTTATTTTGGGTTTATCGTCCTTGCATAAGCCAGAATCATATGGTTGATTGTTTGTTTTTAATTAGTTCAACGTCCTATTAACAGCTTAGGCCATTTAAGGACGTGCCACTATGTGCATTGTGTAAGCGTGCATCTGTGTATGTGTGCCGGAGACAGGGTATTTTGGTGTACTTGCCTTCTTGTGATAGCGCGCATCTGATGCCGATTTTATAGTGCTATCTCACTGAAATACCATGCCAAAGGCACCCAGCACAGCTTTCCGTCTTGTCACAATATGCTGACAAGGGTGAACCGGTTGTTGCCATTTTTCTAAATGCTGAACGTAAACCAGGGAAAAACAACTACCATTTTTAAGGAATTTAGTATTTCCCGGCCTGGGGACAGAAACCATTGCCTTTCTCACATGGGCGAACGTTGTAACGTTCAACGTTAAAGCCAAAAATGAGGTGTGTTGCCAAACAGGGCGCAAGGAAATAAAAGGTAGTTATAAAAAGAAAAAATATAATGTAAATCCCAAATATTGCAATGGATGCAGCAGATTTATTTTGGTCGCTTTTATGTTCCCAAATAGAGGGCACAAATGCAAATCCACAATGGTTATTATGAGAACGGGTGTCTAGGTAGTCGCCGCCACAAATAGCAAGTAGTTAAAAAAGAAAAAAGATAGAAAAGGAAGGAAACGAAAAAGATCTAAAGTGTTGTAATGGGGAACACAGATCAATTTGTATTTCTTCCATTTCCCCTTTGTAGCAGTCACGGACGAAACGCCTCAATTCTGCAGGGACTCCCACATTAGTCGCTTCTTATGGTCATACAGTGGGATTCAGCAGACCTATTCTTTTTCCAAACTGCACATGGTGTCATGTCAATAAAGCATGTAGACTTTCAGTCGCCATCTTCCTCTTTATCCAGAGTCACTACATATAACTTCGTCATCATTACTTTCATCATCCTCATCATCGTGCAAGTATTACTTATGAGTCATGTTTAGCTTACTAATTTTATCATTATAGATGTGTCGAACAGTGAATGTGGACATTTGCTGAAGAGCCTCTTGTGTCACTGGAAATGCTTTGCAACATCTTTCAAAAGATTGCGTGCCACCCGAGTTTCTGTTCCCCATGTCCATAGAAGCCAGATATTGTATTACATCCGCTGTGGAAATGTAATGGGATTAAGGTTTTAGCTACCTCAACAGAACCAAGAACTCTGCAGCTAATAGCAAGTGTGCCCTTAAGCTGATGTACAACATATGCAGTTCACCAAGCTTGCAAAGAAACACACAGAAAATGACTCTATTGTGTACTCCATCGGGCAAAGTTGATCAAACACCTCCTCTGGTGAAAGTATTGAAGAATTCTAATGCAGAAAACAATCCTGTTCTTCAACTATCGGCAAATCCGAAAAGCAGGAGAAATGAAGACAATAGTGATTAATGCCGAGGATATAGATGTAGTTATTTTTCTGCATATCTTGAACATCAGCCTTAGGGCACACTTGCTATCAAACGGAAGGACAATATTATTTGCTGCATGGGTCTTGGATGTGTTGAGGTAGCGAAATCCTAGATCCCATTACATATCCATAGTGGTTGTGATGCAATATCTGGCTTCTATTGATATGGAAAACAGAAACTCATTAATCGTCTGTGATGATATTGAGGTCATCCTGGCTTTTCGTTTATTAACGGGGTGAGAGATGGCGGATGTGTAATGTTGGAGAAAACCGGAGTACCCGGTCAGGTCCCAAATACCTTTCGGCATCAAATCGAACACCGGACGTCTTGGGTAAATACGAGAGCGTTATCCACTTTCCCACCCGACAATAAAGCGCCTGATAAAAAAGGCATCATTTATCTATTCATATTTATAGGCAAGGGCTACTGATCAGGTCTATTTATCACCATATAGCAAACTAAAATGTATTCATTACCTGCCTGCCAAATACTGTATACATGTGATCCTATGGTAGAGTTTAAGCTGGAAAACCAACAAAAATAATAGTAATGATTAAAAATTGTGTAATATTGAGTACATTATTCATCCTTTTTAGATCAAGGGTCTATACTGATAAGTTGTGATTTAGCAGTTAATACTAATGATTCTCTAAACGCTATTTTGTAACAGTCAAGCTTAATGTAGCATTAAACAGATATATTTTTTTCGAATTAGCTAAGTATGAAAAAATCAAAAGGCTGTGTAATTCGATCTTGTCCTTCATCGATTGTTTTGTCTGACTTAAATTATTTCTTATTATACCTTTTTACTGTAATATGAAAAGGCAAAGCCTTGAAAGAGCGTAGTTTTTGTTGATCTCTGATATCTACCGGTTCAGAATACTGGCTTCAGAATGAGATAAGATAACCTTTATTTAAATTCAGCAAATCGAGGAATAACAATAAAACACAGGCTCTAATGAGATAAAGACCGACATTACCATAGGGGAGACCGGAGCAAGTTCGGCCCGTTATTATTTAAGTCCGTTCTGGTAAGTATGGCAGCGCGTCCGTTTTTGAATATTATTTAACTTTTCCTGTCAGGACATCAGATGGCCAAACAAGCCCCGCCATTGGGCAAGTTCGGATAGGCATTCGGGTAAGTCTGTCCTCCAATGCAATCAGTCTGATTATGACGTCACAAAGCATGCAACGCCAGATTTTACCGCCAATTTTAAAACTTTTTATGTTACATGGGCCGAACTTGCCAGGGTATCATTGGCCGAACCTGTTCGGGTCCAAATTTATATTTCAATAAATTATTGATGTACAGCAATGCTTTTATGTATATCATTTGCAGCTGTCAGTGTGTTACACGTTTGATCGTAAAATGTAGCAATTCCATTTACAGAAAGTTCGCATAACTAACAGCGAGATCATGTTTTTCTTTCTACCCTCTCAAAAGTAATATTCTCCTGTTAGGTAATTTTCCATTACAGTTTTCCTCGCCATCTGTTTATGTAGATTTGTTGCATCATTGATAATAGATAAAAATGTATTCACAATATAATCTTTGCATCAATGACGCAATTTTCTTCCAGTCAAATCTAAAGTATATAATTGTTCTTCTGCGTAACGTATGGGTCGGGTGGCGCAGTGGATAGTGCGCTCGTCTTCACCAAGATTGGCGGATTCAATCCCGGTCACCTGTCTGACCACGCGGGTTTTCTCCGGATACTTCTGCTTCCTCCCACATTTAGAATTAAATCCTCTGTGTGCTTCCGTAAGGGCAAAGAAAATGACCGAGATAAGTTGGGGAAAACTGTTTGGTTATTGCTATAGAAAAAGTGCATATTACATATTTGACGATTAGTCTAAGTAAATGTATAGAGATGTTAGTTAAAAAAAGAAAATTGAAAAAAGAAAACATTGTAATACTGTGATGTAACTGAGATCGTCGTTATATCGATATGTAGTCTCAGTTCCTGTTCCATCCTGAAACACTGGATCAAATTTCAAATTTTGTAACTGTCAACGAGGT